GGCGGAGCAGGGCCGGGCTCTGGGCCGGGCTGAGGGCGGGGCGCCCCTGATGCAGCACCAAGCCGCAGGTGCGGGATTCAAAGGGAGGCTGCGGCGGGCGAACTCGGGGTGTGTCTCCCGGTTTCAGGAAAGAGCCGCCCCCGCAGGAACCGCAACCCCCTGGCCTTGGAGTTAGGTGGGGTCCTCTGGGTGGGGGCCTTCGGGGGAGAGATGGCAGTAAGAAGGGCTAGACTGGAAGTGGGGGCAGAGACGCAGGGGGATGCGCAGTGTGCCTCAAGCGAACGAAACTGAAGTTTACCCGTAGCCAGGAGGCCGTCGGGAGGCACCGGGCCCGCCGCCCTCACCTGCACCCTGAACCCGCGCGGTCCTGCGGGCACCCACCCACCGTGGGGCCTGGGGGGGCTGGGCCGCGCCTCGCCCTCACAGCCCTCTGGGAGGGCGCATCTGCCTCTGCTGGCCTACGCCCACTCACGGGCGGGTCAGTGCCGGGAAGGTGGGCGCAGGCAGGGGGGCACCAGCACCCCCTCGGGGAGGTGGGTCTGCAGTGAGGGCCCAGCCCACGCTGGCCCCGTCACGGGGCCCATCAGGAGGGCGCCAGGCCGGCGGCAGAGCAGTTCCGCTGAGTGCTGGCGAGTGTCTGCCTCGTGCACGACCACCTGGACTCAACCCTTTGCTCGCCCCAGCAATCGAGACATCTGCTGCTTAGGGGAGACGCCGTGCGGGACTGGGCACCTCTCTGAGGTGACCCCATTCCTGGCCCTCAGGGGTGCCCCGAGGCTTTCAGATCTGAAATGGCCAGCGCCCGCGAGGCCTCCCCGGCTCCCCCGACATGAAACACGCCTCGGGGCTCCCTTCTGTCAGCTCTGCAGGACAGGGGGCCCCCCACGCAGACCCGCAGTGTGCTGGGGACACGCGCGAGCCTCCCCGGCCCTAGAGGGCGCGTCCGCAGGCGCGGGGTTCGCCTGGAACCCAGCACCGTCCCCGTGGGGCGCAGCTCTCAGTGGCCAGCTCTTCTGAGGGTTCCGGCGGCAGCTGCGCCTGACCGCGTCCAGGCCAGCGCCGCAGGTACCGCCATGCGCGATGCCCGGGCGTCGCGGTGCCCGGGT